TCAGTTTAAATAGTATCTTTGCAATCATGTCAACGATATCGCTGGAAATGAAGTGTCCCCAACTAAGCAAGCCAGAGGCGACAGCGGCAAGGAACCAAAACTCCATCGGTGACAGAATGGAGAAAAAACCTTGGGAGAAACCAGGCTCAGTCGGGGGGCCAGTTCTCCTCTGACCAGACGAAACCAGCAGTTCAATTCCAGGCTGCAGCAAAGTCACATTGTGCAGAGGACTCATCTGGTTCCTGTGGTCTTGTCCCGGTGGTCGTCTGAGACAAGGTCTTTACAGGGGATCTGTATCTGGGGCTCGTCTAGTTGTCCTGGTCTCCGCTGTCTTTCAGGGCTGTGGAGGTCCTTTCTAGGTGCTGATCCACCATCTGGTCTGAATACGTACTGGATCCGGGTGACTGCAGTGACCATCTGATCTGGATACAGACTGGATCTGGTGGCTATGGTGACCTCGGAATAAGAGAGAAACAGACTAATATTAGCGTAGATGCCATTCTTCTAGTGATGTAGCAAGTACATCGGGTGTTATGAGAAGTGTTCCCGGTTCCGGTTGACCTAGTTAATTTAAAGAAGTTCCAGATCTATACTTGTGCCCTTATTATTTCAGTTATTTTGCCTTTAATGTAAATAAACATGTGCAAACAATATACTTGCTCTTGTGAATTTATTTGGATGTTAATTACATTGAGCGAGCTGTCTCTTTAATACCGCGTGGTTTATATACATGTTGCTGCTGACTGACACACCCACCAAACAAGAGCAAACGCATCTCAAACCCCGCACACCGTTTCCAGGAAACATGTCGTTCAAACCGGAAACCGTAGCAAAACGTTGCGCACCGGTTTGAGCTTGAACTTGCCCCCGCACAAAAATCAGTAAGTTTTAGATTTGACGAATTCTGTGATTTTTGTGGTACTAGTTGGTTTGCCTCGTTTGAAAACATTTGGTAAAATTGCATAATTATTTTATTCTCACAATTTCAAAGCTTTACAAATGTAAAAAAAAAAAAAAATTTCAGTCCCTCTCTGAGAAATGGCTAATTTCAGCTCTGTATTTTATTTCTGTTTCATAAATGTTATTTGAAATGTTATCAGAAATGTAATTAAATGTATTAATTATAATAGAAATTTTTATAGAAATACGTTTTTATTATTATTACAACAAAAGCATATTCCTGTTACAAAGTTATTTAAAATATTAGCATAACTGCAGTGATGCTGGCCAACAAACATGGTTTCGCTTGTGATGCTATAAACAACCAGGCTGAAACGCAGCATCATCCAATGAATCATGTTTTTTGTTTTTCTCTTTGTGGAGAAGGAAACAATGCTGTTCTCATCAGATGGAGATAAATGTCCTCTGCTGTCCAAACTGAAAGAGATGTTTTCAAGCGTATAGCCTGAGTCCTGACTTTCATATGGCACTTATCGCACAACCTCAAAAGCAAAACACACATGAAAGCACCATCAGCCAAGACTGCAATATCTTTCTGCTCTTATCAGAGACACCCTACTGCTCTAAAATCTCTTGATGATTTTCTTCTGCCACATTTGTGAAAATGCATTTGCCGGATATGCATCAGTGGCTTCTAGATGTACACTGATACCGTGTTTTACACTGCTGAGTTAGAAAATGGTGTCTAGAGATGCTGACATCACACTGCAAAATTAGTTCATGCAAGTACAATAATCAAGTGGTTCCATTTTCATTTCTGGAGAATGACTGGACATTATAAAAAGCTTCTAAAGAGCATGTGAAATCCCTTGAAAAAAGTGCAGCTTCCTTTTCTGTGTTGACAAATTTGGCAAAAACGTCTTATTCTTAATGAGTAACGAGACTGTTCAAATATTGTATTTTCTCTCAACCTTTGGCAGAAGTGTGGCACCATTAGTTATGTTTTGTGAAGCAGGTATTTCCTATATTTTCCTAAATTTCTCTCAACGACTCCCTCCATCATTCATGTTCTTATAGAGATGATAATATTTCAAACAAGATATTAGAGATGCAATGACGAACAAATGAAAAGCTTAGAAAAGCTTAGTATCTTACATGCTGTGTCATATCGTCTTAACTTGTTTTAAAAACAAATGAGCTTATATTCAAAATACAATCTATGAATAAAATGATTTGTATTAATAACTTATTTTAATATTAATATTATATATAATAATATTTTTTATATGGTATAGTTCATTTATTTTGTTGATTTTAGATATTGTTTCAGGAAAACAAGTAAATTATAAGCTAAATTATAAGCTTTTTTCCATGGCATAAACTATTTGCAACTTGCTAATCAAAAGCAGGTGGTATTTAAAATAAGTACATTCTTATTAAAGTAAGCAGTTTATTGGCCATATGAGTGCAAGATGAATCAATATTTTAAGTCAGTTTAAATGCATATATCTGCTAAAAGGTAACTTATGCCCAGTTAACATCATTTCTGAACATTCTCTCTTTTTTTTCTTGGTTATGTGAATGTTAAAGACAACATTAAGGGGAATGTTCCATTTTATTATTTTGCAAATATTATGGAAATGTTACTTTTGAATGGTCTCTAAATCATCTTAGACGAACATCCAACTTTTTTTTTTCAGTAAATGTGCCATATCATTTATGTGCCATAAATGATATTTTTGTGCTGAAGTTAACTTTGAGTGAACTTTCTATTAACATTACTGAAAGAATGTTTGTCCATAACTTTGAGAGAACCTTGCCAGAATGTTGTGAGAGCGTTCCATGTTAGCTGGGCTGCATAGGTGGCCTCAAAAATTACACACAAGGACTAAAAGCCAGGCTCTTTAAATGCAATAGCAAATTCATTTTCGTTAATATTCTTAATTGAATATCTGCCAGCGATTTCTACTTTATCACTCCCGCTCTCTCAGGCAAAAAATTTCACCTGTGATCGGTAACCTTATTTAGCCTGTGAAGCAGATGGGATGTGACAATTCTTTGATACATAATTTGCTCTTCAGCGCAGGTGCTGATTGAACTGGATCATTATTCAGTGACACCCACTCTCACCACCCTCTCTTCTGAGTCACAGCCCTCCGCTGGCCTGTTCTTCATCATCTCCCAGCCCACCTCCTCATCGCCCCCTTTACATCTCGCATCCCCTGTTCACGCTTCTATACACACACACCATCTCCAGCGTTGTTTAGCCAGAACTCATTAACAAAGGCTGACAGCAGCTCCAAAGGCACTCTAACTCTGACTCACTGGATTTTTGTACTATTCTGAATCCATTTGTACATCAGATATTATTTGAATAATGATTTAAATACATAAACACGTGCACACATCCCTCATTGTAAAGCTTACTATAAACATTGTGATGATAAGACGTGTTAGTTCTTCCTTCCAGGGATTCATATTTATTCACTTTGGCAATCCAGTGATGGGGAAGAGCGAGGATGTGTGTGGGGGATGGGAAATGGGAATTGCAT